TAAAAGTTCAGATTTTGTGCTCCGCGGCTCTATCACTTGCCAGAAGCGGCCGAAGGAGGCCCCCTCCCCCGCCGTCTATCTTCCCGAATATCACCTCAGATTCACTTCTCCGCACGTCCTACCTTCCAGAAAGTGGTCGCGTTTCTGTTCAGAGAGTTGCTGCTATTCTTTTCTTTGATCTCCTGTTGAGTTTGTAGGTGTTCAGGATGGTTTGATCCCTATCCAGCTGAATTCCTGGGACCAGAAGAAATCCAGGTCTCTTACTTCTCTGCCATCTTGCTCCTTCCACCCTGTATAAGACAATTAACTTTCAATTATTTGATGGCTACCCCCCAGGATCTCGAACATGACTGTCAAACAGTTCAAATGGTTCATGGGGTATTTATTGCCCTTGCTAACACTTGCTTTGTTTTTTAAATCTGCAGTGTGCTTCCCTCACTGTGGAAGTTGGGTGCTAATGCACATCACTCACTGCGTCTGGTGTGGGCAGGTGCAGGTGCCAGTCCTTGGGCTGCTGAGCCAACGTGAGTCTTACACGCTTGCCTGGAATCTATCCTCTCGCTGGCAGGGCCAGCTCATGATTGGGCATGTGTCCCCTGGCCATAGCTTCAAACTCCACTGAGCATGTGGATGGTGCAGGTGGCACACAGAAGTCACCCTGGTCCCAGGGGCTGCAAGGATAGGTGGAGGGGCAAAGAGACAGTCCCTCGTCAAAGCTACCTTCTCTAGGCCACCCATAAGCCCCTGTTTAATGGGCTCCTTGACCCCCAGGAGCTGGACAAGCCAGTTTGGAAACTCTGTTAATAGAAGCTTTTCGACTCCTGTTTCTCCTCCCCTCTTTGACTCACCTCTCACCCACGTACCTTGTGCCTCGGGTGTTTCCCTCCCTCCCCCAGCTCACTGCCTTCCCTGCTTGCTTTTGTCTGTCTGGGTTCTCTAGGGCAGCTCAGATCTCTCCTGGACAGACTCAGCTCTCTCTGCCGTCTTGTCCTGTCATTCACCCTCTGCTTCTCCTTTTCACTCTTCTCACTGCTGAGACACCAGCATCCCACAGACCTGTCCTTTCTGCCTTTTCTTGCCTCCCCATGGTGTCCGTTCCCTCCTGGCACAGTCCCAACTCCACACTGGCCTCTGAATGAAGAAAGCTGGTACCTGTTTGTGCTTGTTTTTATGTTCAAGGTCAGCCGGCAGACCTTGGGGCTGTACGTGCCCACACACATACAGATGCACACACAGACACACTTCCCTTCAGCAGTCTTCATCTTAGTCTCAACACCAGAGCCCCTATTTTATTCTTTTATAAAACAAGTATTTATTGGGAGTGCCAGACATATTCTGGATCCTAGGGATAGAGCAGAGAACAAAACAGATAAAAATCTCTACCCTCGTGGAGGATACAGTGTAGAGCGGAGTGGAGGGCAGCAGGATGAGCAAAGAGAGCTCCAGATAGAGGGGAACATTGGTGCAAATTTAGCATATTCAGGGGACACCTTGGTGTAGAGCTGCCCTGAGCCAAGGTTTGCTGGGAACCCCAGCTGGAGCCGCATACACACAGTCCCCTTCCTCCAGGCTGGACTGAGCTCCCTCTGCACTGGCTCTCGCCCTCCTGAGGAGGTAGACGTGCTACGTGGTGGCAGGTGGCTGCCTTGCGCCAAGATCCTAGCTGAGGACAGGATGATCTGTCATGGGAGGACTCATCTGCTCAGGATTCCTCACATCCCTCACGACTGGGGAGATGAGAGTGGAAGAGCAGGGCATTTAAACTCTCTAACACGGTGCCCTCTTTGAGGAGGTCGGCCAGTCTTGAACCTGCGCACGTGAAAGCAGCCTTTGGAAAAGCGGTGTTTGTTCCGGCAGAGCCCAGGCAGGCAGGAAACTGTGGAGCACCTCTTCAGGACACAGGTGATGGCCCGCTGGCCCAGTCCTCGGACAGCCAGGGGCCCAGAGGGAGGAGGAGGACGTGCCCGAGGTGCGCGGGACATGGTCTCCTCCTGGGCCTGGGGGCTGACGAGGCAGCTGGCAGGGCACAGGCTAGTGGTGGGCCTCGTGTGGTGGCATCACTGCTCTACAGGGGCCTCCAGGCTCAGCACAGGCCCTGGGACTGGGGGCAGTGGACGTCGGTGCCCACGCCTTGTTGGCCAAGCCAGGTATGAGAGCCCAGTGCCTGTCGCCCCTCTGGGCAAAGAGAACAAAAGCAGCATGTGGTTCCTCCCTCCCTGACCAACGAAACGTCATTGTTTGCTGAGGGCTGTGTTGCGCACACGCACACCCCAAGGCGCCATCACCCCCAGCTTGGCGCTGTGCTCCTGGCCACTGTGCATTCACAGAATCAAAAAGATTGTTCTCACACCATGAAGACACGGAAGGAGGCAGGCAAACAGGATTTATGCTTCAATTACATTTCCTTGAGAGCAGGCACAAAAGGCATGTGTCACTCTTGTTCACAAGCCTCCCACTGCCCCAGCCATCTCCTCTCCTTTCCTCTTGGGTTCATCCTGCCCCTGCCTGAGCCCGCGCCACGCCTCCCCATGTGAGGCCGCCCCTGAGTGGTTAAAGGGCAAGCCGGCGTCGGGGGCGCAAACGCAATTGTCACGTGACTTTCCTGTTTGTGGTCATTCCTCTGTCACCATCAGAGAGCTCCTGCGAGTCATCAGATGTGAGAACAGACAGATGACACCCCGGGTTCTTTTTGTCACCTGGGCCTTGCGTCAAAAACATGAATCAAGGGGGTCCTCTCTAGTGATGGCTTCCCTTATCCTCCCTGAAGCCCCGAGTCCTTCCTGTCTGTTGGTATTTATCTTTTCAGACAGAGAGAGAAATCAAGGTGCAGGCCATCCTTTCATCCCTAAGGGAAGGGGTGGGGGTCAACCTGTAAACAAAGGAAATTAACCAGGCAAGGCCTCCATTGAATGAAGCAGAGGCACTTGCAGTGTGTAGGGCCAGGGGTGTGGGTGGGGGCAGGTGTATGTTGTTTTACCTTATTTTATTTTATGTTAGGGACATGACATCTTTACAGGTTCCCATTCTGTTGTAGCCTGTTCCTCATCAGGCCTCTGAGACTCAGGGGCCCTCCTTTCTTCTTGCTTAAACCCTAGTGAGTCATTCCCATTTCTGTATTCACCTCCTGAGAAGACCTCGCCTAGGGTCAGGAGGTGCTCTGGGGGTCTGTGAGCCTCCTGAGATATCCAGAGACCTGGGACTGTCCTCCAGCCCCTAGCACCCATGCCCTGGGAGGGGTGAACATGCCCACCAGGCTGTCCATCCTGGTAGGAGATCCTAGAGATGACACTTCTTTAAAATTCATCTTTTGTTTCTCATTGAACTGAGGCCTCACCAGCTTTCCTCCTGGATCTTGTGAGCAACGTGGTTGCCTAATACCATTCTCTCTATCAATTTAAAACCCATTTCCCCAAGCCCCCAAAGTAGCAAAGCACTTTGCAAGTATTATCTAGTCCTTGCAAGTGCCCTGTGGGGTTGGAGATTGAGGTATCATGAGGTATGTGACAAGAGAGGCATGCCCCGGGGTCATAGGCTAAGTTACAGGCAGAACTTCTAAACCCTAAGCCAGGATTTACACCACTGAGTTTGTTCTTGTTTTGTCTTCAAATAGGCTTAAGAGAAAAGTAGAATTTAAATTATTAGTCATGGCACAAATATTGCAAGGAAAGATGCAACTGAGAATTCCCTAACTAGACTGTCTTTTCTTTAAAAGGGCCTTTGGGGTATCCTCCAGCTCAGACTGATTCAATGAAACAGGCAGGTAAGCCAGGGCCTAGTTAGATAAAACGAGGAAAATCCAGCCCAAAACATGCCTGGTTCATTTTTGGTTTTCCCTAGAGTTTTCTCTGGCTCAGAGCATCAGGCTTTAGATGGTGGGGCCCAAAGACCTGTGATCTAGTTCTGGCCCATCCTCCAGGACCTTGGATGAGTCACGTAGGCTCTCTGAGCTGTTGGACGGGTGGGTGCCTGCTTGCCCGGGTCAGCCAGCGCAGGGCCGTGGAATGACCTGGACTCCAGGAGCAAAAGGTAGAGGTCTGTCTCCCCTCCCCCACCCCACCCCACATATACCTCTCAGGACCTGGTTCTCTAGGTGGGCGATCGCAGTGCTGGGTTCTCTCTCTTCCCTGCACCACCGCAGTGATGTATCATGAAAATAGGTCAGGCACGGTGTGCACTGTAGGCATCAGCTACTCCTTTTAGGTGGGACTCATCCAAAGATGAGCCCACCTGTGATATAGGTGATGCCAGATGGCATATGCCCACCTCTGCCAGCCATCATTTATCCTTGGCCCTCCTCTTCTTCCCATAGGTACCTGGCGCTCTATGCTTACAAGCCCCAGAAGAACGATGAGCTGGAGCTGCGGAAAGGCGAGATGTACCGGGTCCTAGAGAAGTGTCAGGATGGCTGGTTCAAGGGGACGTCCCTGAGGACTGGGCTGTCTGGGGTGTTCCCAGGAAACTACGTGACACCCGTCTCCAGGTGAGGCTGGTGTCACTGCCCAGGAGAGGAGGAGCACATTCCCCATGTTCCCCTGCTGCTGGTTACTGCCTGGAGATCATGCTGTGGTCTGAGCAAAGCCAAAAACACACAGTCCAGAAGTCACAAGGGTTCCCCTGCCCACAGGGTTTTGCCGCGTGAGCTCAGAGCTCCCCTTGGGCGAGGGTTCCACGTGGCAAGCTTTTCCCCTTCTGAATTAGGTTTTGCTTGTCATTCCCTCAGCAGACTCTGGCTGTGAGGGGACAAGATGGGAGTAGAATGAGCTGGAGTCAGGGCAACAGCACCAAGTGGGGGTGGAAGATCACGAAGCGTGATGTGTGTGCGCACATGTACCCGTGCCTGTGCGTCCAGTTGAGTACAGCTGGTGTGTGTGTGTGACACACATAAACCTGCTATGCATAAAACACACGTATGCATACATGCAAAGGAAAAACATACATTCTCAAAAGCTAACAATTGTTCCTGAGTGACGGTATTAGGAGTAATTAAAAATTTTCTTCTTCCTTGTGCTTTCCCTATTTTTTTGCAAATTTCCTGTTGTATCATTTTTATAAAACAGAAAATACAATCTAAAAAATTTGCTCAAGAAGTTATCTGGAGTTATCTGAGAATTTCCCACTAAGATGAGGGGTCCACTGTTGATTTTATTTGTCAGTCTCACCCATGGAAACCTGTCATGGGCACAGCTCTGGGTTACCTGCAGCACAAGCACATCAACTGAAGACATGGCCCCTGGGTTTCTGCTCTCCCTGGGACAAGACTGACAGGAAAACAATTAAATAATGCCTAGACCTTGCACTGTTGGCTACACTGATTCATACTTTTCAAAGCACCCAGAGGAGTGGTGCTGGCCATGATATGGGCTTGCTTGTATGTCATCGGGCCCTTCCTGGAAAGGCCCATAATTTGTGAGCCCACTTTATTCAAGTTTTAAAAATTTTTTCTTAGGGTAAAAGTGAGTTCAATAGGTAGCAGATGTGATTTTTTAAAAAAAATTCATGGGGCACCTGGGTGGTGCAGTCATTTGAGCGTCTGACTCTTGGTTTCGGCTCAGGTCATGATCTCAGGGTCGTGAGTTCGAGCCCCATGTCAGGTTCCACACTTGGCGCAGAGTCTGTTTGAGATTCTCTCTCTCCCTCTGCCCCTTCCATTCGTTCTCTCTCTCTCAAATAAATAAATCTTTTAAAATATTCATGGTTTTGAATATTCTGACCCACTGACAGAGTTCCTCCTTGCTAGAGGTGAATTTCAGGGCAGCTCTAGGGGCTCTGCCTATGGTCCCTGGACAGCTGAGTCCTTTTCCAGGAGGCCCTCTTCCCACGGCGGTTCTTCAGAAACCCTGACTTAGTGGGGCACAGCCCATCCCTGGCTGAAGTCCTGGTCCAGCGGTACCGAGCCACATGGGGTGGGGGCTCCCTGACCTGGCGATGGACCTGGCAGTGCCTGCTCTCACCCTCACATGGCTTCTGGTGTCTCATGACCAAGACTCTGAGGGGACAGAAGGGGACTTGACCCAGCTCTTGGACAAATGGCAGATATTTGATCCCTGAAACTGAACCCACAGAAACTTCCGAGCCCCCGGATTCTGCCGTATCGTGTACACTCACCACCAGTGCTTGAGTTTGGTGCAAGTACACGGGGGTCAAAGGGCACAGCCCATTTTCAGAGTTGCTGTGTTCTCGTATTTCTTAAACACTGGAAACTGTTTTCATCTGGAAACTTGGGGTGAAAGGACGTTTATTTCTGGTATGACACTGCAAGTTCCCTGACATCCCTCAGAAGGACCGTTTCCCAGAGGCCCTTTCCAAGAAGCCGGCAGAAACGAGAAGGCGGCCGTGTCCTGAGGGACATGGGTCCTTGCCACAGCTTCCCACCACGTGCCAGATATGTCCAAGCCTCGTGGGATGTGGCTGAGTCATCCACTCTTTCTGGATGTGTGTGGGGACGGACACAGCTGCATATTAGACCGAATCAGGGCAGTAGCTCTGGTACAAAATATTTGATTGATATTGATTCTTAGGGTTCTTTTGTTGTTTCTTAACTATTTACATTGAAAGTTAGCCCCCATGAAGGTTTTATAAAGGGTGCTCCACTGCCAAGCTTGAGCTCAGGGCATCATTTGCCTACAGGATTATCTTGGCATTCTTTTAGTATTTGTGCCCTGGGCTGTGTGGCCTTCATCTCTCAGAGTTGGGAGGTAAGAGTGGTCCTTTATTAATGGCCTGTACTGTGTGGTTTCATCTGTGACCTCACCTGACTGATTCTGTTTTATTTCCTCAGGGCTCCTGTAGGAGGGGCTGGGCCACCCCGGAATAATGTCGTTGGAGGGTCTCCGCTGGCCAAAGGGATGGCCACAACCATCCACCCAGGTGGTGGAAGTCTGAGCAGCCCAGCCACTGCCACAAGGCCGGCCCTTCCCCTCACCATCCCCCAGGCCCAGCACCAGGCAGCTTCTCCCCCGATGAGCAGTTGCCTGCGGCACACAGCCCAGCCAGCCACCAGCCAAGCCCGGGGCACTGTCCCCACAGGTATGTGCCACCCCTGAGGACTCACTCAGTAGGACAATTTGACAAGGGGTTCTTGTGAGAAACATTACAACCCAGGCTTCAAGCAGTCCAAGATGGGGCAAGTTGTATTTGCTTATTATGATCATAAGCTTCTGCTAATCTCCAAGAAATGTATTGACTTATATTACCCTGTCCTGGCAACTGAAATGGATTAGAGAATTTACAAATATTGATACACTTCACTGTAGCAAGAGGACTGCATGGACTCATAGGATTAACACTTGCACCGGGGTCTAGGCCAGCCCCACAGGCCTTCCATGTGCTGGGCCCTCGGGGGCTTCCCAGCTAGGCAGCTTCTCCCCGGACGGAGCCAGAGTGCTCCTTCTCTGGAGCGCTTTGAAGCTAGAAGCAATGATGGTCATTGACCCTTCACCTTTATGCCAGCTTTATCAATAGCCAGGCTGACATAGTTTAAGGAAAAGCCAGTTGATCCCAGGACAGTGTGAGATGAAGAGAAATTACAGGGTGGATCTTACAGGCATAAAGAAGGTCAACATATCTGGCTTGGAAGCTTAGGCCTGAGCCATTAGGAACTGCTGAAGCGTGGCTCGTAGTGCCCCTGGGAGCCCACACCAGTTGCCTTCCCAAACCGTGGCGCCAACGACAAAGTCGCTGTGCTGTGTAGCTACCCAGGACAGCAGGGTGTGACTCTCAGTTTCATTTAAATGACAGAATTCCAGCTCCAACCTCAACCTTACTCTCTCAGAAATCATCTATCTTCTCCTCAAAGTAAGACTTAAAGGACAAAAAGTGTCAATTCTCTGGAGCAATAAAATACACGATTTTTTAGAATCTAGCCAGCCAGGAGATGGTCCATTAGAAGTGCTCCAGAAGGCACCTTCTCAAGTGTGATAAGTCGAGATAATACTTAGCACAGCAGGGGCCATATTTTCTCCCAAGTTGCGGCTAATGGGACAAAAGGGTGGGAGAGGGCTGCCCACCTGTTCACTTGTTGGGGAAATTGGCCTGCACATTCCCATGCTGGTGCCGGTCGGGTTTGCATGCAGCAGCAAGGACTGCTGAGACCATTCAGGTGTCCCTGAGTGTGACATGAACCACCCTGAGTGTTTCAGAGGACCACTTCAGTCAGCATGCCCACTGACAAAACAGGACCCCATTCCCTGCTCTCAGCTCCCACACACTGGCGGGAGCCATGCTGCCGGGCAGGAAGGCGTTGGGTGCTGGTGGAGGAGGTCCAATGTGGGGCATTTGGTGATGGGGGAGACTGGGAAAGGCTCCTCAGAGGAGGTTGATCCCAGACTAAGCAGCAAAGTAACACTCAATTAAGAGAACAAAGAAGGGCATCATTTGAAGCAGGAGGAAAGGATTAGTCAAACAAACAGAAGTGACAGAAAGCACATCTTATGCAACCAGCTACAAGCAATTCAGTGAAGACAGAGTGAACACAGGTCTGGCTGAAGTCATGAGCTTGAGACCTATGTTTGGAGGCTGGGCTGCCACTGTTGTTGCTTGCCTCAGTTTCTCCCTCTGTAAAATGGCACTTACCTCTGGGGCATTGAGTGGGGACAGCCTAGTATAGCGTATCTAGTGTGTATTCAGTACGTGTAGCTGGATACAATGAGTATCACTGGAGTACTCAGTGCACGAGAGTCCAAAAGGAAAAAATAAATTATTACCGAAGGATCTAGGGGCTTGAATTCTCTCATGAAAGCAATGGGGAACCACCAAGGGATTTTGCACAAGAGGGACAGCACTTTACCAAATTTATCACCAGGCACAGTAGGGAGGATGAGTTGCTGGGGCAGCCTGAACCTGGGAGCCCCTAGAGAGGTACTACTCTCCCCAGGGGAGAGGTCACAAAGGGCCCAGACCCAATAAGTGGGGCTGCAGAATTGAGACAAATGACAAGATTTAGGAGGAAGAACGGTAATGACTTGGAAATGGGCTAATGCTCGGGGAGAGCAAGGAACCAAGTCCAGTTGCCAGGTTTCTGGACCAGTGACTGGGAGAAGGACAATGGCATCCCCAGCCTAGAAGAAACAAGAAGGGACGGGTTTATGGTGGAAGACAATGATATATGGCTTTGCAAAGTGCAATGGGTGCTAGTCATCCTGTGGCCCATGCACTGATTTGGATCCCTGTCCTTCCCTGGGGCTCGCATCCCGTGTGTTAATCCCGCCTCACCATGGTAGAAGGCTGATCCTGCTGGTCCAGCTCACCTTATAGATAAGTGCAAACACATGACCTAGATGCTGGGAACAGACATGCCTGCATGAGGGGCCGTGTGGATCCCTTTTGAGAGAAGGTAGTGGTGAAAACATCCAGCTTTTCAGGGGCAGCAGGGTGGACATCTGGTGTCTGGTGCCAGTCATCAGTGGGTGCAGGGTGGACTTCTGGTCTCCAGTGCCCGGTCATCAGTATGTACAAGGTGCATATCTGGTGTCCACTGTCCAGCCTTATTCTGGATAGTGTCTATTTCCTGCAGCAGTGGGATCTGCACCAAGGAGGCTCCATGGGTGGGCTTGGCACTGTCTTGGTTATAGAGTCTCCAAGACTGTGCCATCCCAAAGACTCTGTAAGTGCCTAATGGGCTTTCATAGATGTCTGTTTTGCTTACATTCGCCAAGAATGAGTTCTGTTTTTGCATCTCTGGCCCACAGGGAAGAACTAGTTGTCTTTATACTACAAGAGTTCTGCAATAATATTATCTGGTGCCAGCCATCTTGCGCCCAACAATTACCTCCCAATGAGCCATGCTTGTAACATGGCTTAAGTTCATCTGATGGTGTTTATTGGTAAGCCTCTAGCTAGACATACAGCCACTATATGGCCAAGTGATTGAGTGAACCCACAGCAGGGCTTCCTGACTGGTTTTCCATGACTGGGTCAGAAGTACCCAAGATCCTGACTGGTTTTCCATGACTGGGTCAGAAGTACCCAAGATCCTGACCTCATTGACCCTTGGAACACCCATGCAGGACCTGGGGCAGCTAAAGTCCCAGGTTGGGTCCCTTCTGGCTATAAACATCTCATCCATTCATCCCAGTGTGCCACACACACGTTTCTATGTGCACCATGGTATGGAGAGTTTGGGCAGCCCAGGTCCTCACTGAGAGTGAATATCCCAGCATAGTAGCCCTAGGTTATTTGCACAAAATGCCAATATGATGGCCTTTCTAAGCCATGCCCTGCTAACAACTTTACCAGCTCAAAGAAGAAAATGAGACCTGCCAGTCATTTCTCCCTCTATGGAATAACAAGCAGAAGTGAAAGAAATTGGCATGGCTAGGGGCAGTACAACATTGCATCTCAGTCATTGATCACCATAGTAACCACCATGGTGTGACAAGCATTCTCTTCCATCAGTCTAATTTTACATACGGGAGGAGCAAGGCACAGGATGTTTAAAACAGCTTTCCCAATGCATTCCAACCTCATGCTTGTCCCCACACTCTTGCTGTCACAGTCAAGTTAAAGAATGGCTCCTACCACATCATATCAGTAAATTAAATGCCATTGAGTTCCCATAGCATTTTCCACTTCATTCTGCATTTAGAGAGAAAAAACACACTGTTGACAGTACAAGTAATGGATTGTTCACTGCAGTAATTGCCCGTTTCAGCAGACCCCAACCCAGGCAGCTGAGAGGCATTTCATCAGTGTTCTCATCTTGAGCCAAAGTCAGGCAGTTTGACAAAGGCTTAATTGCATTGGCCATAGCATCCAATATGATTTGTTCTGCTTGATTAATGTAACTCCTTTTTCCAAGGGCAGAGCTCTCCCTGTAAAGTGCCAGTGATCACACATCCTCATATCAGTGTTTAGCAGGGGCAAGAGCCTTGTACAGCCATTTATTCATCAGAAAAGAAAAAAAAAAAGCACTGAAAAAGAGGTAGATACTCTGCTAGGCTCTGGAAATGCAGAGAAGATCCACATAAACCCCAGTTCTACACCCAGTTAAAGAGAGCGACAAGAAAACAAATTCTTGCAATAGAGTTTGAAAAGCACTATAGTGGAGGGTAATAAGAAAGCATGGAGGAGAGATATGTAACAGATTGGGAAGGAAAATGAGAGTGGAAAATTTTCAAGAGGTGGTGATCCTGCCTTGATTCTTAAACTACAAATAGGAACTATCTGAGCAGACAAAGCACAAAGAGAGTTCTAGTAGAGGGACTAGCAAGGACAAAGATGTGGCAATGAGAAATACCAGTTTCTGTTTTGGGTAACTTTATTTATTTTGATGTGACTGAAACAAAAGGCATGGAAGGAGAAGACAGGGTGTTGGTGACAATTTTTCTGCAGAGGCAAAATTTAATTTTAGGTCTTAAGGCTGGCATGCAGCAGGGGGTGAGGTGAGGGTGGAAGCATGGGGCAAGCTCTGAAGCTGGCAGAGGACTGGTGAACTTGAAAACTCTTAGATGAAGTCAGGGTGGAAGGACAAAGAAAGGAGAGGATGAATGGCACTGGCAAAGCTGAAAGGGAAGTAGGGAAAGATCATGGAGGTTCCTTTAGACCATGTTGTGCAATTTTGATTTATATCCTAAGGAACACATCAGAGGGTTTTAAATAATAGATACAATTGGATTTTTGTATCTAAAGAATAAAGCCAGGCTTCTGCTTATGACCAACCTAAAGTAATGAGGACAAGATTTATCATCCCACCAGAAACAATTTACAAGAATAACAGTTTGCAAGATGCCAAACATTAGAAAACCAAGGACAGTGATCCATGAGAATAGGAAACAATGAGGTGAGCCCCAGCTTCCTGCCTGGAGAGAGGTTCCAGACTGTGGCACAGGGAGGGGTAACAAAGTGGAGCACAGCGGGCTTCCTGGTGTGAGGATGTGGAGTGAGAGTCTGGATGACCGAAGTGGCTGGAATTTGAAGGACAGAACCTAGAGAGGAGAGGACTGCACAGAAAGAAAACCCCAGAGTATGCAGGGTGTCCTCTTGAGTAGTATACTGAGAAGTAATCAGCATATGCATGTGAGGAAACTGTG